CAGGATGGGATTTAGGGCTGGAACGTTCTCCAGAAACAGGATGGGTTTTAGGGCTGGAATGTTCTCCAAAGCCAGGAGTTTCTCCAGAGCCAGGATGGGGTTTTAGGGCTGGGATCTCATGGAGAAGAAAAGCACTTTCCCCTCTTTTTTACCCGGATCATTCCTGGCTTTATCCGGTGCCGGCTCCAGAGCAGGGATTAAGCTCTGGGAGCAGAAGGGGCTATAATTAAACCTGGGTTTAACTTCACCAAGCAAAGCCCGAGCAGAGGAGCCTTTGGAGAAGCAGGCACCCACTGCAGGCGGGTGAGGCTGGCAATTAGCAGCTGCTGCGGCACAGGAAACAGATAAAAACGGAGCGATACCCATCGCAGTGAGTCAGGGAGCGTAAACACAGCCCGGGACTCGGGTTGGAGTGACAGATCAATGACACGGAGCTGTCTCATTTCCCGGAAAAAGGAGGAACAAGCCCTGCAGAGCTGCTCCCACCCCTGGGTAGGAACGTGCCCCCTGTTGATGGAGTAAAAAAGTTACCCTTTGTCTCCTCAAAAAGGAAAAAAGCCCTGATGTTTCTCTCCTCAATTTGGTTAAAAGACACCTCATAGGACCTTGGGGACCTCACCTCAAACTTAAGGGTAGCCAATTGGACAGAAGCCAAAAAGTCCCACAAGCAATTCTCTAGAAAAAGAAGAGAACAAAAGAAGAAAATCGCTTTTGTGAAGTGTTTTAGCAGGAACAAGAACCTCATGCACTGACTTGGTTTTTCTCTGTAAAGAGCTTTTTCATTTTGCTTTTTATTACCATATTTTTGTTTCCAGCACTGTCACAGGAGCCATCCTGCTACTTTGGTGCCACCTGAGGTAGCTGAGCTATCAAGGGTATGATGTTTATCTCTGAGAGCTTGTGAGACCAGGCTTAAAGAGACAAAATATTACCCCGGGATCCTCATTCCCCGCTCTCGCTTTGCCCTCACGCTCGGGTAACTCCGGCAGCGCAGGTGGATTTTCCTCCTTTGGGGAATCACTTCCCAGAGCAGGATGCGGAGCTGGGATGGGGTCGGGGTCGGGGTTGGGATGCAGGAAGGGAGGTCAGGAAGGATTCCTCCCTCTGGGAATTACTCTGGATCCCAGGAAGGAGCTCCGGGATCCTGCACAGCAGCTGAGGGACAGGGAGGGCTTTAGAGTGGGACAGGGACCCAGGGACAACCGGGACAATGGTGGCACTGGGACCATGGGGGTGGTGGCATCCAGCAGCCCCTGCCAGCTGCTGTGTCCCCCACAGGTCACCCAGTCTCGGGGTCTGGGTGTTGGGATGACCCCAGCAGTGTAAAAGTCCTCGTTTCCCAGCCCTGAAGCCAAAGAAGAAGTTTGAATGTGTAGGATCAGCTTCTCAAGGTTGTTTATTTTCCTTATCTAGAACATTCTCTCTCTGACCTGCTGAGCTCTGTCCAGCAGGTCGGCCATGGCATTCTGTCCCCAGTCTCAGGTGGCATTTACATTTTATACCCAAAACTCTGTGTATTATATTTATAATATTGTGCCAGTACCTATCATCTATGTTGGACAGTGTGTCTTTACCTTAAACCAACAGAAAAGTGTCACCATCACACCAAGACATGGAGGACAAGAAGAAGGAGAAGAAGGTCAGGACACACCCAAACCCCTCCATCTTGTACCCCCTGAATCCCATTCTAAAAACCCCAAAAATCCACTTTTTCCACCTTGTGTTAATTCAACTACCACACTACTCAAACCCTTGTGGCTTGTAATTCCTCACAGAGATTTGTCAGCTTTTTCCACGGGCTAAAATGGAAGCCACAGGTGGTTTTGACTTCGTGCCAAGGTCTGCGAGCCCCCTGCCAGGGTCTGGAGGCAGCCAGGGCAGCCAGAGGGATGTGCTGGACTCTGACAACCCAGCACCCTCCCACCTCCCCGCGGCTCCCAAAACCTCCCCGGTGCCCTCCGGAGCCTGGCCGAATAAAGACTCACATTCCCTAAATCCCTCTGGCGTTGGTGTTTCCCTAAACTCAGAGCCACGGGATGGGAGAGGTTGGGAAAGACCTCTGAGATCACGGATTCCAAACTCCTCACTCGCGTTTGCTGTGCCACTGGGAGGATCCCGACGGATTTCATGCAGGCTTTGTGCCAGAGCTGCGTTCCCCTGAACCTTCAGAATGCTCTGGTGGCTGGGGATCATCCCTGGGGGATCATCCCTGGGGGATCATCCCTGGGGGACCATCCCCAGGGAACCCCAATCTTGCAGAAATCCCAAAAACCTCTCCCCAGAGCATTTCCTGCTGGACCCCACAGCCCCCAGACCCCCAGGGCTTCCCAAGCCTCTCCCGACCCCACGGAGCTTCCCCATCACAGCTTTGAGCATCCTCCTTCCTCGGGAGGCTCCCAAAATCCAGGCAGGCACCAGGCTGGACAGTTTTTATTGGGGTTTTGTGGTGTTACAACCGTTTATGTGGGAAGGGGAAAAATAAGCTAGGAAAAAACGCCTTTGGGATATTTACAGTGCAGAAAGATCTCAGTGAAAACCACGATGAGCCCCCTCAGCCAGAGCTGAAGGATTGGCTGCAGCTGAGGTGCATTTTTGGTGTGTCCATCCCCCAAAAAACCGTAGGAATTTTGCTGTTGACTCCAAAAGAGCTGGAGATGAGCTCCCAGCACAGAACCTTTAATTTTCCCCCAGGAATTGTCACTCTGGGCTCGTTATTACTGAATGGGCTGACTCAAATAATTACCCTGCTCATCCCAACCCTGTTAACCAGGGATTTTTTCACTTTCTCCCCATTAATAGCCAGGGTGAAGGGGTTGAGATTTCAGCAGGGTTGAGATTTTTGCTTTTTATGAGAAAAAAAAAGAGAAAATCTGTCCCAAACCACCCCCAACAAGCCTTCAAAGCTGCATTTTTAAAGCACCCCAAGGAGACACCACTGGAGCGTCGGGACCGAAGGAGTCCTGGGGATATTTTTGCCTCATGGAGGTAAATTGGTGGAGCTGGTCATGGTCCTCACGTGTCCCAGGATGTGCCTGGCCTGGAAGGAGGAGCAGGGAAAGCCTGGAAGGAGATCCCAGCAGCGGAGCAATCCAGGGATCCTACAGAAAGGGAGGAAAACCCACGGGGGCTTCACCCACGGCCACCCCAAAACCTGGCAGGACACAAGTCCAGCCCGCTCTGCTTGGCACTGATTGGTGCCTAATTACTGCACGAGTTTAATCAGAGCTGATTAAACCCCCTGCAGAGCTCAGCTCCTGCTCCATCCCACCCTCCCCGCTGGGCTGGGCTCGCCGCGATGACCCTCGTCACCCCGGGGTGACACCAGGGGTGTCTCTGTCCCCACCCCAGGAGGGTCCCACGGGTGCCAGCTCCCTGCTGGCCCTTACCTCCTCTCTCCACGTGCCAGGAGCAGCGCAGAGCCCTCAGTAGACGCAGGGCTTGGCCCTCTCCTTGTTGATGGGCTCCGTGTCGGGCTCCGAGGGCCGGGGGATGGCTCTGTACTTGCAGCTCGGGGACCTCTGCGGGGACACGGCCCCGTCAGCCCCTCCGAGCCCCTCTGAGCCCCTCCGAGCCCCTCCGAGCCCCTCCGAGCCCCTCCGAGCCCCTCTGAGCCCCTCCGAGCCCCTCTGAGCCCCTCTGAGCCCCTCTGAGCCCCTCCAAGCCCTCAGCCCGAGCAGCGGGCACTGCTGGAGGATGCCCAAACCCACTCCGGGGCACAGCTGGAGCTGCCCCTTCCACGCCCTCGCCTCCCATTCCCTGTGAGAAAAGGGGAGGGGGCACGGCAGGAAAAACCCCAAGAGTGGAGAGACCCCAGCCCAGCCCGGGGTGTGGGGCGGCTGCTGCAGACCCCCAACCCCCCCGGCCAGCCCGAAATACCCCAGAGGGCAGAGGGCGATGGGGTGGCAGCAGGAACGACTTCCCCGGTGGCTGCAGCGTCCCCAGGGCAGGACGCTCTCACATCGCAGATTTTGAACCCGAATTTCGGGAGTTCCCAGCTGTGGGTGTCCGTCGTACCTCTCTGTCCCCCTGACCCAATTCCCAGGTCCCATCCCTGCAGTTCCTGAGGAAAAGTCCTTCTCCAGCTTCCCTGGAGCCCCCACAGATCCTGGGGGGGCTCTGGGGTCT